CTCTCTCTCTCTCTCTCACTTTGTGCGCCTGCTACCCTCCGCACGTGCCCACTACTGTCCGCGCGCGTCCACTACTTTGCTCTCTCTCTCTCTCTCTCTCTCTCTCTCTCTCTCTCTCTCTACTTCGCAAACTTCGGACTTCGGCTCTGCCAGAAGAAGAAGAAGAAGAAGAAGAAGAAGAAGAAGAAGAAGAAGAAGAAGAAGATGGTATGAAGAAGAAACAGAGAACAGCAAACGATGACTCACCTTTACCAATTGACGGCAGGGCGGGGCGGGGCGGAGTGGGGCGATGGCGATCCGAGGCCGGGGCGGACGGGGGTGAGGGGGGGAGGGGCAGTCTCAACCTCGTTCACATTCGACGAAGTGTCGAAGTGACGGGTCCTGCTGCTTGAAAGCAGCTGGAGGCGAGAGGCGGGGTAGTGTTTCCCGCCGGAATGTTAAAAAACGGGCGGCCTATCTGGGCCGCAGATCTCACCAGATCGATGGCCCAGATAGGCCGCCAGTTTTTCAACAATCTGGCGGGCGTACCGGATCCAGTTAATTGTTTTTGGGGCCGGGAGGCCTCCACGACCCGCATGGAGGACTCCCGGTCCCAAAAAAAATTGAAACCTCCCTGCCATCGAATTGCGCAAAATGCAACAGGGGGGGAACCGGCGCTCTCCACCGGCCGGTACCACCAGCCCGGTTCCGGTGGCGGAAAAGGGCCCCGGTGGGACCGGACCGGAAATTCAGCCTTGATCTGTAACCCACTTAGAGATGGGAATACCCGCTATACCCAGTCCCAGTGCCAACTTCAACCAGTACCCAGAAAATGGGCGGTGGAAATTTATTTGCATGCCCAGGACTGAGGTGGACCCAGTTTGGTACCGCAAAATTGCAGTTTTATAACCAACTACCGGAATGCACAAATTATGGACGTACACAGGCAAAATTATGGGCATACTGGGCACCTGAGGGGGACCCGTGAAATTATTCATATACCCTACTACCGGATGGGTGAAATTATGCTCATACCCAGCATCCGATGGGCCACAACAGTCCATGTGATGGGAGCTTAATTTTGTGGTGGTCGGTCCCCCTTCCAACGCCCGCCACTGGGTGCGGGTACATCCACAATTTTTGTGGGACCATTTCTGGGGATGAGGATAACTTTGTGGTCCCCACAACCGAGGGCCTGCGGCACTGGGTGGGCATGCCTAGAATCTTTCGCACAGGGGAAAAGTTGGGTACTGTGCAAAAGTTGAATGGGGTCCGGGGACAGATGCAAGTTCATGCTGGGACTGGGTATAGCAGGTATAGCGGGTATTCCCATCTTTTTTTTTTTTTTTGTTATTTTAATATCGTGTGGTTCGATGGACCACGGATCAGATACTAAACTGATCAGAACAGATACTACACTTGATCTTAGCCAAAAGGCCGAGAAAGGTATTCCCATCTTTTTAAGTGGGGTACAGATGCAATTTTCTCTTTGGTTTGTTTTTCTTTTGCTGTTCTTCTCGTTGCCACTGGTGCTTATCCCTTAGTGGAAAGGTCGCATGCACGGCTTCGTGTAGATAGCTTTTGTGGGTATGATTACAATTTACAATTCTAATTGAATTATTATTATTTCCCCGGTCATTGACAATTATTACAGTTACTTCTCTGCAGCATGAGAAGCAGTATTTCCTCCTCCTCCTCCTTCATTTGAACGACTTTGAACGACTTCTTCTTCTTCTTCTTCTTTTTTTTTCTTTTTTTTTTCTCTGCGCATGACGAGCGGTATTTCCTCCTTCTTCTTCTTCTTTTTTTTTTTGACGGAGAAGTTTTATAAAAGCCGGGAGCCGGGCCGGCATCCCTCACAAAAAGTCGGTCAGAACCTCCTGGACTAGGCACCCCCGGCCTCCTCCTTCTTCTTCTTCTTCTTCTTCTTCTTCTTCTTCTTCTTCTTTTATAGCATTTCTCTCATGCTGTTTTTGCCTGCCCACAACGTCTCATGCAGAGAACGACGTCTTATCCCTCTGCTAGTGGAAGCAGGCGCCTGGTCTCGAGGCTTTTTTTTCCATTATTAGAGAAAACAACGGTGGCTGCATCAGGTTTTCAGCTCCGAAAGGCAAAAAAAAAACAATAAATGGTGATTCAAACACGGCGCGAGTTCGAAATGTGCTAACGGAACGTAAAACGGCAGTCTGCTGCACACCACGGTCTCCCCTAAGCATGTAAAAAAAAGCCTGACCTGCCTGTTTTGAGAATCGCACCATGTTTGGGTCGCCTTTTTTAAAACCCGTGCTGTGTTTGAATGACCATCTATTGTGTTTTTTTCTAGGTTACCAATGGTCCGGGGGCCGGTCGTCTCCGGACGTCCCATCGGACGTCCGGTACCCCCGTCGTCCGGAAAAACAATTTTTTTTTTTCGTAAAAAAAGAATATATATATATATAGGCTACCAGAGTGGCCCGGGGTCATTTGCCCGGCCGGGCAAAAATAATTAAAAAAAATAAAAATAAATAAACTATTTTTGAATTTTATTTTTTATTTTAAATTTGGTGAAGAATTTCGATGTGACCCTGAGGCAAAAGTTGTTCAGTTTATTTTTCTGCATAACATAGTATTTTTTTCAGAATTTTTGGATTTGTTTTTTTTGTTTTTTTTTGCTGGGACCTTACCTGATCCTTGCACGGGCTGGCCACCCGGGACCCGGGCGGCCCGGCTGGTAGCCTATAATATATATATATCGTCATATATATTCAGCCTCCTGATGAGTCGGTGAAACTCCGACGAAACAGTTTGTCACAGCCCCTCGTTTGTTGTCCTCTTCTCTCTCTCTGCCTACGGTTTACCGGGCAGTTCTATTTGTGACGATATATATACATATATATTTTCGGTTTTTTATTTTTAAATCACGATTGGCTGCGAATATGAACATGACTCCAAGGCAAAAGTTGCTTGTATTGTTATGTTACATAACATATATTTTTTCAGATTTTTCTGAGAATTTTATTTTTTTATTTTTTTATTTTTTTTGCGCTAGGTCGGACATACCCTGTCCGGTCGGACGTCTGACCAGACGTCCGGTCGGACATCCCGGACGGTCAGGGGGGTCCCGGACGTCGATCCAACAACCTAGGTTTTTTTTCGTCTTTTGGAAACTCGATTGTGACTGAAATGTACTTAACTCTCATTAATATTATTAGTTTCAAAGATTTACTTACCTCTTATTATTATCTTGGGAAAACTAGGACGCAGTCCGGGATGTCAGTTGTCTTTAGGGTTGGGTGGGGATGTGTTGTATTTCAGGAATGCCTGAAGTGCATTGAAAACTGAAAACATGACTGCGCCCTAGTTACCCCTATTATTTTATTTTATATAAGTAAAGAGTCCTGAATTTACTTGCATGCCTCTCAGTCCAGTCCAGCTTAGCCTATGGTTCTGAAGTTCTGAACAAAATTGAGAATTTCTTCATTGGCTTGTCTGCAGGCTGAAGACTTGAAAAACCAAATGCAAGAAGCTGACAATCGCAAGAAAGCTGAAAAAGAGGTAAAGGATGGGCTTAGCTTCCAGGCCATGACTTTTCTGAGTTTTCTCACTTGCCCCCCCCACCCCCCCACCCCAACACCCACCACCCTCCCCTACCCCGCACATCCTATCTCCTTGTCTTTCGCTTTAGCTTTTTCCATTTCCACCCTCAGCATCAGACTCTCTGTCTCTTTTCTTTGTTTCTTTTTCATTTCATTTCATTTCATTTCACTTCATTTCATGTTATTTCATTTCATTTTATTTCATTTTATTTTATTTTATAATTTTTATTTTATTTTATTTTATTTTATTTTATTTTATTTTATTTTATTTTATTTTATTTTATTTTATTTTTTGGCAAAACAGGTCCTTATGGCCCTGCTGCGTGCTGGTAGGTAAGCAACCTGTTACGGTTTATTGTCAACCTCTACATAAAAAAATCAGGATTGTATATTCGATGGACGAGGGATTGCCGTCATCACTTCCTTCCTGCATAAAGCTTATGACGTGGGTACAGTTCCAACTACGGAGGCTACGTTTTTGTTCAGTTTAAAGACAGAATTGCGTCAGAGAGGGTTCCCGGATGCTATTTTCGATAAAGCCCTTACCAATTTCAAATTTCAATGTTAAGATTGGAGGGGCCTGGACCGAATTGGTCCGCTGTTTTACGAACTGGAATTAGGAAGTTACCTCGACCGGGTCCGCTTTTTTAGTGACTGGCACCAGGTGGGTCTTGGGGTTTATAGGACTATATAGTTAGCTTTTTTGAGTCTTTTCTCTTTTTCGTCACTAGCGCTCCCTTACCCCTGACGATGGCCGGTACTCTGGCGGACCAGACGAAACATGTCGGGTAATCGCCAGTGTGCTTTGATGACTACAGCGCGTGCACTTGCAGTGCCCGTGTGTACAGCGCTTGAGCTTGCAGCACTCGTGTGTTTACGACACTTTTTCTGTGTTGGCTATGGTTGAACATTTTATGAAGATTTTATAAGCGGACACGCTCAGGGGACTACGCTATTATACCTTTGTGTTCCTACTTCTTCTCTTCCTCCTTCTTCCACCATACGCTCTTTCCCTTTCTCCTTCTCGCTTCCCTTACAACCCAATGTGTTTCTCACAATGGCTTGCTAATGTTGCATGTAATTTCATACCACTACTCATACTGCCTCGATTAGGCTCGATATCCATTCTGGGGAGCATCAGTCCGGGTCCTATTCCACCGGCAAGTCAATAGTACAATCAATTACAGTATGAACACCCTCCCGCTTCCTTCCGTTTGGCTGAAGGACCCCCGAGCAGCATTGATTGCTCCAGGAGTCTGGAGGATTGACTGTCAGCTTGCCATCCCTCTTCCTTTCCTCTCAAATTTGTTTACCCCAAACCCGCCAGATTTGACATGAAACCAAGAAAGGACTGTGCAAAAAAAAAAAAAAAAAAAAAAAAAAAAAAAAAAAAAAA